CCACCTGCTTCAAGTCTCCTAGCAGGTTAGCGCAGATTTTTAAGTCTGTCACTGCATGAAAGGGAGGGAATCTGAAGTGGAGAGTTCCCTGATGTCACGGGAAGATGGCGTGAGATGGAGTAATCAGACTGCCCACTGGAATTCTGCTGTAAGCAAGTCATCACTCCCATCTCTTTGCCCTGAGACCCAGTCGAAAGAAACGCTTCACAGTGTACAGAGCCTCAACTATATTGGGACAAGAGTATGTACATTGAGGGTACTGAGTTTTCCTCATTCATTCATGCATTCAGCAAGTATTTGTTTTCAGAATACCCCTCCCGCTGGGAAGTATTATTACCAGTGCCACCTAGCTACTACCTGAGAAGAGAGCGCGGCAGGGCGATCATTTGACCTTGGTATTGAAGGCAAGCTCTTTTTCCTACAACCTGCTCAGCACCCCCGCAGAAAGCGTTCAAGAAGCACTGAGCAAATTGGGGTAAAAAGCAAGAAGGCCGGTTTTGTTTGATTGTTTTGTTGTTGCTGCCTTTGTTTTTCCTGGCCCACACATTTTGTATTCCATTCCTCACCCTGCTTTCTTCAACCCTGGGAGCACGGGAGTAGAGAGGGAGAGAGAATTCCCTAGATGAAGACTGGCAGACACTGCTGAAAGGCCCCTGGGATGCTCGTAGCAAGGGAAACTGCATAGCAGAGTGCAGGGATGTTATTCAAAAAAAAAGGGACTCTCAGTAGCTTTGTCAGCAGAATCTTGTGGGGGAAAACAGGTCCCTTTCTCTCTCCCCTCCTCCCTCCCGCCTCCCCTTCCATCCCTCCCTCCCCCATCTCTCCCTCTCTTTCCCTCTCTCTCTTCCTCCCCCTTTTAGCCTCATTTCTTCTCTCTCTTTTAACCCTCCCTCTGCCTATCTATCTATACATCTACTATCCTCCTGCTACGTACCACTGCCTGTCTAAGTGCATATTGCCTGGCCTGTGTCTACCTCTGCCTCTCCTCCAGAACCTGCAGGATGCACTAGCTCTAAGCAGACAGACAGATTGAGGTCTTCCACATAATCAGGAAGGAACCAGCCTTCACAAGAACTTGACTCTAGCTCCAGTTCCTGCCACTCTGCAGTCTCTTTGAGGAAATAAATCAATGTACCCTAGAAAGCAGATCATCTGCAATCTTACCATCATCATCTCACCCTATTTGTCTTCATATTAGAGGAGAAGGGAGGTGATACCAAGAGTCAGACAACCTCATGACCTTATCCTCAAGGGGATGTGCCTTCATGATCCTGTAAATAAGATGTGTAGGGGAAGATCTCTCTGCTTGGTATAGAAAGTCCAGGCTCCTGCTGCTAGTCCTCCACCAACTGGCTCTGTTGTCTGGAGGCAAATGCCTTACCTCTTTCCTCCTATGGTTTTTAGTTTTCTATTCAATAAAATGGGTGAAGGGACTGGGGTGGTACACCTCATCACATGAAACCATTGTGACAACACTGGATAGATATTATTATCCATTCGATTTGAATGACGGAAATGAAGTTCAGAGAAGTTAGATTATTTAAGCCCTGTGGCACTTGTATATGGCAGAGGTAGCACTTGAACCTAGCTTTGTTGTTATTCATTCGCAAAGTCACGTCTGACTCTTTGTGACCCCATGGACTGCAGCACGCCAGGTTTCCCTGTCCTTCACTATCTCCAAGAGATTCCTCAAACTCATGTCTATTGAGTTGATGATGCCATCCAACCGTCTCATCCTCTGTCACCCACTTCTGCTCTTGCCTTCAATCTTTCCCAGCATCAGGATCTTTTCAAGTGAGTAGGCTCTTCACATCAGGTGGCCAAAGTATTGGGGCTTCAGTATCAATTCTTCCAATGAATATTCAGAGTTGATTTCCTTCAGGATTGACTAGTTTGATGCCCTTGCTGTCAAGGGACTCTTAAGAGTCTTGAACCTAGCTCTGCCTGATGCCCAAAACCTATTCCCTATGCAGTTCCCTTTATTGGGTTTCTAAAGAGTAAAGTCTGGATGGATAACTTGCTTTCAGATCAGGGTGAGTTTTATTATATGTGAGTTGGCCACATTCACCAAGAGGTTGTTTGGAGCTACTGAGAAGTGCTGAGCCTGTATTCCTTCTGTATTTGAACTGCCAGGCATGCTACTGGTCACTGGAGTCCTCAGCTGGCTCAAACTCATCCTTAAATAATTGAATTATAATGGATTGATTTATTCTGGCTCTTTTGATAGTATTTCACTATGTAAACTGTTTGCAGAAACAAACAAGGGATTTTGGAGCTTGGAAGGGGCTCAAAATTCTGCTGCCCCTGAATTCAATGATTCCTTTTTTCAGATAGTCAGCATCACAGAAATTCAAGTCTTATTTCTATTTGACCCAGGCTCTTTCCATTTGGGGGAATGCCGCTTGAAAGTGTTTCAAGTGAGTACTGATTTTACAAGCTGATTCAATTCAGCCACTTAGGAATAAATTAAACCCTTAACGAGAAGAGTATTTTTTTTCTTGACCATTATTTTAAGATATACACTGTGTGTTTATGTCCATTTCTTATGAAAGTTGTATGGCTATCTTGAGAGGTTGTCCTTGCTTGTTTCTGTACTACAGATGGGAAACCAGAGGGTGAGAAGTAAAGCTGATCGTGCAGAGTTACACACCTAATAGGAGCTTCCTTGGTGGCCCAGACAGTAAAGAATCTGCTTGCAGTGCGGGAGACCCGCGTTCGATCCCTGGGTTGGGAAGATCCCCTGGAGAAGGGAAAGGCTACCCATCCAGTATTCTTGCCTGAGAAATCCCGTGGACAGAGGAAACTGGCAGGCCACACAGTCCATGGAGTGGCGAAAAGTCAGACACGACTGAGAAATGAGCGCTCACGCACCCCTCCCTAATACGAGGGGCAAAAACCAAACCCTGGTCTTCAATGAGGCTTCTCTCTCTCTTCTTTCAGAGTGAATCAGGCAAGAATGTCCTAGATCAAGCAGCATTCTCAGGGTGACCATACGTTCTGCGATGTTTAGATTTTCTCAGGATAGGTCCCTCTTGCCTGGGTAGAATTTTTACTAGCATTCTCTTTCACTCCCCAAGTGTACTATTTGAAGGAGCTGCTGCATGTAAATGTGATGGCAATACAGGGGGATGACTATTAAGACAGTGAAGTGAAGTGAAAGTCGCTCAGTCGTGTCCAACTCTTTGCGACCCCATAGACTATACAGTCCATGGAATTCTCCAGGCCAGAATACTGGAGTGGGTAGCCTTTCCCTTCTCCAGGGGATCTTCCCAGCCTAGGGATCGAACCAGGGTGTCCCGTGTTGCAGACGGATTCAGACGAATTGCAGGCAGGTTATGATGGGGATCTTTGTAAAATAGGAACCCACACAGGAGGGAGTACTTAGCTTTCGTAGAGGAATTGGGAAAGTGTACCTGGCCTTCATCTTGCCCAAAAGATGGGCCAGATGATCGCTTTTGGACAGCTACCTCCAGATTTCTCCTTGTATTATTCTATTCTGAAACACCATGAAGCATGTACAGTGTAGGTCCTACCTGCTTAGAAGGCCTCCAGCTATCCATGTAAATGTATGACTGAGTCCCCTCACTGTTCACCTGAAACTCTCACAACATTGTTAATCGACTATGTTGTTGCTCAGTCGTTAGGTCGTGTCTGACTCTGTGATTCCATGGACTGCAGCACGCCAGGCTTCCCTGTCCTTCACTATCTCCCAGAGTTTGCTCAAACTCATGTCCATTGAGTCGGTGATGTCATCCAACCATCTCATCCTCTGTCTCCTCTTTCTCCTCCTGCCCTCAATCTTTCCCAGCATCGGGGTCTTTTCCACTGGATTGACTATAGCCCAATACAAAATTAAAAGTTAAAAAAATAGAAAAAAGAAGGCATCCAGCTAACTCTGCTTCTCTTGAGTTTTGTTCTTGCAGCTAAGGGAGAATCACTGCAGCCAGCTGCAGCTTTAAACTGTCCCAAGCAGAACTCCTGGCTATGATTCGAGTTACACAGGAGCTTGAGAACTCACTTGGCCTTTAACTGAAATACCTCAGATATCCAGCAAGTATCTAGAAGATAGCACCTTAGACAGGAAGGGCTCCTGGAGTTTTAGCAGTTTCTCCCCCTTCAGTGATGACTGAGCCCAGAAGAGGGAAAGAGGTTTGTCTGGAGGAACAGAACAATTTCGTTACAGACTCGGGACTGAAGCCAGAGGCTCTCATATAACAGTTCACTCTATGTCAGACTGTAATCCTATTTACAGTTAACTAGTCAAAATTGTCAGTTTAAGACTATGAAGTGCTGCGGTGGCAGATAATGTACCTAGAACTTGGACAGTGAAAGCCTGAGTATAAAATCAGGATCCGGCATGAACACTTTTCATGACCTTGGGAAAGTTATTTAAGACATGCAGGATTTCAGTTTGCTAATTGAAAAGACTAAAATCATAATTTAAATAATATCTTTCTCACAAGGTTACTGTGGGGTTCACAAGGGGTATGAAGGTGGAAGTGTTTGTTAATGTGTGTGTATGTTATGTAGTAAAAGTCACATAATACAAGATCTACTCTCTTAAATTTTTAAGTGTACATACAGTTTGTTTTTTTTAATCCATAGTCACAATGTTGTACGTCAGATTGCTAGAACTTATTCATCCTGTGTAACAAAGCTTTATACCGTTTGAATAGTGGATTTGAAATCTCAACCCCCCTCCTTCCAGCCCCTGGCGGTCACCATTCTACTCTCTCCTTCTATGAGTTTGTTTTATATGCATCATATAAGTGGAATCATACAGTGTTTGTCCTGCGTGTATTGTCCTCCAGGTTCACTAGTGCTGCCTCATATGGCAAGATCTCCACTGTGAAGCCTGAGTAACAGTCAGTGGTGACCATCAGCGGTGCGCTTGACTATGCCAATGATTCTGTGTATCTGATTCCGTAACTGCTGGTGGCAGCCAGGGCCAAAGAACAAACACTGATCTGTTCTCTCCCTTCGATGTCTGTCTCCCGCAGATGAACCCAGCCGGTGCTATTTCCATGATGGTGACGGAGTATGTGAGGAGTTTGAACAGAAAACCAGCATCAAGGACTGTGGTGTCTACACGCCCCAGGGGTTCCTGGATCAGTGGGCGTCCAATGCCACAGTGTCCCACCAAGACCAGCAGTGCCCAGGCTGGGTCATCATTGGCCAGCCAGCAGCGTCCCAGGTAAGCGCCCAGCCATGCCTGACGTTTCCTGCAGACATTCCAGATCTCTGCTCTGCCCCTCAAGGTTGCCCATCACAAAGGCAGTGTCTCTGGACATGGCCACTTGACTATACCTCTGTTGTTGTTCACTTGCTAAGTTGTGTCTGACTCTTTGCAACCCCATGGTTGCAAACTCTTTACAACACTCCAGGCTTCCCTGCCTTTCACTATCTCCCACAGTTTGTTCAAATTCATATCCACTGGGTCGGTGATACCATCCAACCATCTCATCCTCTGTTGCCCTCTTTTCCTTTTGCTTTCAATCTTTCCCAGCATTAGGGCCTTTTCCAATGAGTCAGCTCATTGCATCAGGTGGCCAAAGTAATGGAGCTTCAGCATCAGTTTATTTCCAGTGAATATTCAGGGTTGATTTCCTTTAGGAGTGACCGATTTGGTGTCCTGGAAAGCTTTGACAAACCTTGACGGCATACGATAATCTCTCCGTCCATCCATGTTGCTGCCAATAGGCAAATGTAATTCTGAGGTCTTATGAGACTTGTTGGTCAGCAGTTGGATTTGGAGTGTTTAAGGGCAAGAAACATTAGCACAGTAGGGGTAATGACTCTCCTGTGTCTCCTGCTAGAAGTCATATTTGGGGAAAGCACTCCATTTGGGATATACTACTGGCATTCAATGGTATGAGAACAGATTCTCTGGGCGAGTCTCACTTTTGACAGGGGAGGGAGTCTCGTCACGTACTGCTCTAGCATGCTCTCGTGAATATGGTATCTCCATCGTGGATGCGCCATGCGGCTTTGGACTAGTCTTCCCATTTCTCCGGGCCCCATTTTCCCCATCTTTAAATTAGACAGTAGTTGAGCTGGATGCTCTCCAAGGACCTTCCCAACACTCAAAAGCTGAGACTCATTCCTCATTCTCCAATGCACTATTTATGTCCCAGGGCTCTTCCCCAGGGGACTATCAGCTTAGTCGAGGGACTGAGAGCACTGGGGCCACCAGCCCTTGTGTGATTCTAGGGATGGCCCTGCTGTCCCCAGAGTCCCCTCTCCAATTATCCTACTCAGTGACCACCTGCCTTCTTCCAAGACTCTTGTTTCCCAGAGACACACCAGCGCTTCCTCCCACCCCGCCCCACGGCCGTTTCGGAGGCCGGCCTCCCACCTGGCCTTGCAGGAGAGCCGTTCCGTCTCCCCATTCCTCTCTAACATTGCTAGCCTGACTCATGGTCGGTGGAGGGGTGAGGCGAGGGCGGAGGGGCCTGGTTTCTAGATGAAAGAGACATGGGACCTCCTGAGGCCCAAGGAACATCACTGGAAGAGGTACAAAGGAATCTAACCTCACTTATAGTGTTTATTTGATCATTTGTTCTTTTATCTGATTGCGTTTACCTGCATCAGATTATGTATTCGTTTGTTTTGGACTGTTCCTGAGGAGGATGGAAAGAAATGTAAGCAAGGTATTCCCGAATGTTTGTCGTGTGTAGTGCTAGCTGGGTGCATGAATGACCGAATGAATGAATGAATGAATGCTTGCCTACGCTCATTCTGCCCCATGCCACCTCTGTACTTGCTGAGATCATTTTGGGTGAAACCCATGCTCTGAACTCTAATTACCCGTTTCCATATCGGCTTCCCCCTCAGGCTGCTAGTTTTGTGAAAAGAGTTTTAAGGTTTTATTTACTGTGTTCCCCATCTTCAAGCACAGGTTTTAGGTAAGACCAGGAGTTCAAGCGATGTGTGTTTAATTAATTGTAGATAAACACACACGTTGCTACCTTTCTCATAAGGAGTGTCCTGCTTTAGGCACAACAGGGCTGGCCAGTGATAGAGCCAGGCATTCCAGATTCAACCCTGCCATCCAGTTTCTAGAAATGTTTTAAAAACATCATTCAAACAAGGGTATTATTAACGCACTCAGAATCTCACATGACCACATGTTGAGGTAACAGCTGTGCTTATAAACCACCAAAGGTTATTGCTACTAATGTGAGAAAAGGAGAGAAAGAATTTTCCAGTCTTAGCATTTGAAAAGAGACTTCGCCTGGGCAATTATTCCAGTCTGGGAAGGAGGGGGCTGTCAGGAATCATGGGTGATTATCTCTTCCTAAACAACAATCCAATTTAAAAAAAAAATCATTATAAATACTCGCTCTTCGATCTACAAAGAGGGGCTGAGAAAACAAAATCATCCTATTGAATTATTCATTGTAACCAATTTTATTTTAATGAAATCGACTAGGTTCCATTACTCTGGGCTTGGACATAATCTTTGTTACAGGGAGACTTCAGCTGTAACTAAATTTGCCATAATGAGATCAGCTCACTGGAGAATACAGGGTCAGGGGTGGGGAGGTGTGTGCCGTCTGGGTGCAGGGCCGGACGGGGGGTCTGGGGGCTGGCAGAACAAAAGTCCCCCCAATTCCCTGTCTCAAAGTGAGTGCCTGGAAGCCATTCCCACACCAGCCCCATCGTGCACAAGCCAACATGTGCACACACACAGACAGCACACGCACAGCCTGCATGACTGAGTCAAGCCTCTTCTTGGAGGGTAGACATAGCTCCCTTCTGACAGCAGAAAAGAGGAGGAAGTGTGACCGTGGCCTTCATCACCCTGCGTGGTGACTAGAGGAGGCTGGTGGTTAATTTTCACCCTGTCAGGGCCTCCAGGGAAGAGGTTGATGGCCTGAGAGAGGGAGTTGTGGGCTTCTTAGATGCCCTGTGAGCACCTTCCCTTCCCTTAACCCAATTATACATTCCTCCTCCTCTCTCTCTGTCTCTTTTATACACACACAGACAGGCACACACACGCGAGCATCCTCCAGGAACAGGCCTTGCAGATGCAAGAGCCCAGGTCCATGCAGCGATCCCAAAGCACAGGGGAGAGAGTGGGGAGGGGACCAGCGGTTGTTGAGGTCCCCCAGCCATGGAGCTGGGCCCTCATACGTGCTTCCTAACCAACCCCCTCGCCATTCTTCAAGGGAAGAATTACTACTCACCTTGGAGAAACCGAGATGTGGAGTGGTTTCCCCAAGGTCACACAGCCTGTAGTGGGGAATTGAGGATGGAAAGGTTCTCCTGGAAGGCAACACTGGGAGTGTGGGAATGTGTGGTCCTGCTCAGGAGCTGGGAGTAGCCAGGTTCCTGAAAAATGTCACTGTGAATCAGGTGGAAAGAGCCATGGATGGATAGCTCTTTGCGTTGGTTGTACCGTGCAGGCTCCATGAGGTTCTTGAGGAAGAACTAAAGAGCCCCCTGACGAGGGTGAAAGAGGAGAGTGAAAAAGCTGGCTGAGAACTCAGCATTCAAAAACCAAGATCATAGCATCCAACCTCATTAATTCATAGCAAATGGAAGGGGTAAAGTGGAAGCAGTGACCGATTTTATTTTCCTGGCCTCCAAAATCACTGCAGACGATGACTTCAGCCATGAAATAAAAGACGCATGCTCCTTGGAAGGAACGCTATGACAAACCTAGACAGCATATTAAAAAGCAGAGAAATCACTTTGCTGACAAAGGTCCGTCTAGTCAAAGCTATGGTTTTTCCAATAATTTTGTATGTATGTTGAGAGTTGGACCATCAAGAAGGCTGAGCACTGAAGAACTGATGCTTTTGAACTGTGGTGTTGGAGAAGACTCTTGAGAGTCCCTTGGACTGCAAGGAGATCCAGCCAGTCAATCCTGAAGGAAATCAACCCTGAAGGAAATCAGCCCTGAATATTCATTGGAAGGATTGAGGCCGAAGCTGAAGCTCCAATACTTTGATCACCTGATGCAAAGGGCCGACTCATTTGAAAAGACCCTGATACTAGGAAAGATTGAGGGCAGGAGGAGAAGTGAATGATGGAGGATGAGATGGTTGGATGGCATCACTGACTCAATGGACATGAGTTTCAGCGAACTCCAGGAGTTTGTGAAGGACAGGGAAGCCTGGTGTGCTGCGGTTCATGGGTCACAGAGTCAGACACAACTTAGCTGCTGAAAAACAACAGCAAAAATCTCCCAGGCACTGCCCACAGCTTGAGTTCAGGCTGATTCCACTCTGTCTAGGCGTCCCTGTTGCTGGTACCCTGGTGTTCACTGGGACACTCTATCTACTTGGAGAGTGATGAAGTGACCACAGTCATGTCCATTTCCTCTTTATAAACCAGTTTTGTCCTAGTCTGTGTATTTCCCCTGATGCTGCAAAAATGATAAATGCAGGTGTTTATTGGAGTTATGTTCCTGGCTCTGTGCTAGGGCCCATGGAAGAAACCAAAGAAGAAGGAGACCCGACCTTGACCTTGTGAGTGTGTAAGACCATAATGTGAGGATGCTCTCGGGAGGAGCAGCCCTGTCAGGGTCAGCAGGCAGGCTGTTCTACCTCTCTGTGCTAGATGAGTCTAGAAAATGATTAAAATTTTCATTTCCACTTTTGCATGAACCCTCCGCTTCTCAAAGTCCCCAGTCTTGCTTGTCTATCCCCCTTAAACAAGATGCCCAAATTTGGTAAGAGCTAAGCTCCTCCGCCCGGAACATCGAGTCTTATATCTAAATGTTATCAGAAGCATCACACCTCCCTGGCTGTGTGCATCGGGCTGAACATCCTATAATAAGGAGACATTCTTGGGATGTTTTGGCCGTGCACCTTCCCAGCCCTGCTGGAATTCAAGAGGTCCCTGAGACAGAACAAAAATGGAACAAATTGAAAGTATAGAGTTATCTCTCTTCTGGAAAGCTCAGCACAGTTTGGTTTAAGTGTTTGCAAAGATCCCGTCTTGTTCTCACTTGGTCTCTAGGTCTCACACTTCTCCGGTGCTTTACACCACAGGCTGCCAAAGTGAGATGCAGAGATTCCTTCATCCTGCCCTCCCCCCACCCCCGCTCCCCACTGCATTTCTACCCAAGCCAGGTCCCTCCTGTCCAAGCAGTCCTCTCCCTCCTCCCACACAGGAGGTGGTGGGGATGTGAAGGCTATCCTAATGCACAGTGCTCTCCCAGGGATTATGGACCTGCCATCAACC